CATTTGATCTTCACAACAACTCTGCTAGCTAGGTGCTATTATTATCCCCATTTTACAATAGAGGAAACTGAGGCTGAGGGAGGTTAAATGCCTTGCCCAGAGTTACACACCTAATAATAAGAAAAAGAATTAGAATAGCTGACATTTATATAGGCATTATACTAAGTGCTACACAATTTTTACCTCATTTGATCCTCACAACAACCTTGCTAGGTAGGTACTACTATTATCCCCATTTTACATTTGGGAAAACTGAGGCAAACAGAGGTTGTGACTTGTTCAATTACTTCATAAACATCTAGTAAGTGTCTGAGGCTGGATTTGAATTCAGGTCTTCCTGACTCCAGGGTCTGTGCTTTATCCACAAGTTGTCCAACTTCATTTTAAAGTTGAGGAAACTGACGTCCAGGAGTGGTTAAGGAACTTCCCCAAAATCATACAGGTAACAAAATGGCAAAGTCGAGATTTGAACCCAGGACTCCTGACTACAAACCCAGCATTCTTCCCACTGCACACTTTGGTAGGGTAGTTCCCAAGGTTGAACCTACTCTATGTAAGCTCAGAGTTTGAGATACTGGTCCATGGGTTACAAGTGCGAAGTTACTCAAAGAAAGTACCATGGGAAATCTGAAGGAGATATTACTTTCACCTAGGTGTGGTGATGAATAAGGCATCCTGGATGAGTTAAGGCTGGAAGGATGGGAGAAACTTTAACAGGTAGAGATAATAACAATAATAACTCAAATTTGTATATAGCACTTTAAGGTTTAAACATCATTCTGTGAAGATTATTACATAATATCCAGCTAATAAAAGAGGAAATAAACACTCACGGAGGTTAAGTGATTCACCCAGGGTTACTCAACTGGCAAGTATCCAAGCCCACATGTTAACCTGAGTCTCCTAATTCCAAGTTGGTGGGAGGAGGGAGGAGGTTGGTTCTTCATATGGGGAATAATGTGAGCATGTTAAGCAAAGACTCAGAAGAAAGACCAGGCAGAGAATAATTTAGTTTGGATAGAATGTATGTGGGAAGAGAAATAGTATGAAAAAAGGTTGGAAAGGAAGTTAGAATCAGAATACAAAAAGCCTTAAATGCCAGTATGTAGGATTTATTATGTAGGCAATAGGGAGTCACTGACGATTTTTGAGTAAAGGAGTCACATGATAATCATGTAATTATAACCCCAACTAATGTAATCCCAGAAAGCCCACACAGCTCATAGACTCAATCAATCAAAAGTATAAATCAGATGTGAACAAGTCTTTAATTGATTTGAGGGAAATAAAATGCTTTGATATTGGATAAAGACAGGAAATATCTCTTGATTGTCCAAAATATTGGACACCCCTCTGGGCCTATGTACAAGACTTCAAAACAATGTAGAATCAATAATTCTAACAGCAGGCCAGTTTACTAGTAAAGGAGCTCCATCCAAGTTTTGGAAAGAGAATCGTTTTGGAGCAAGAGTTTCTCCCTTTCCCCCAAGGTCAAGTGATCCTGAGCTTCTATCAGAGGTCTCACGAGTGGCCATAATCAGCAGCTATGTCCTCTAGAGCTATAGAGTTGGGAAGTAATCAAGTAGCACCTTTGAGATGGACATACTTAGGGATTTTGTAAACTTTCTACAGTCTGGAGAGGTCCCAGGGTGACAGCTGGTATTTTCTTGTTTCCCAGCATCTAAGCAGAATATGAGGAGAGAGTGTCAGCAGCAATGGGAAAGTGACCTGCCCCAGCAGAGGAATGTCCTAAGACCCGGACTAGTTCAACCTAACAGCAATGTCTCTCTCTCTCCTTGAGAAGCCAGTCCAGCAGACAACATTTGTCCATTATTTACGCTATGCCCTGCAGTGAATTGCATGAGTACAACACAAAATAGGAAAAAAATTTCCAGTAGCCAGGAGTTGTGAGGTATCTTTTTGACATATGTATTCCCCATGCATGTGTCTCACTTGTGTTCTGAGTTGGAATCCACTCTCCCAAGAGACCTTGTGCATACAAGGTGATAGTGTCTCATTCTCACCCCCATCCCAGGTTAGGGAGATTTTTGTACCAACTGTTCTTACTATGTCATATACGTAAATACCTTTGCTGAAAAATTAATTGAGGATACTGGCTAATAATCAATAGAAAGCACACTGGTGGGGGCTCATGATTAACAGTGTAGTACTAGAAACTCAGCTTCTTATGGTTATCCTTAGAACCTCCAGGGGAATAGCAGTCAACTACTCTCTGTGGCTGAGAGTTATGGGAGTGGTCCCAGGGTATACTTTAAGCACATAAAATTGAATCACAGATATAGAAAGACTTCAGTCAACCCCTTCATTTTATAAATGAGGAATCTGAGGCCAAAGAGGGTAAGTGACTTAATCCTTAAATCTTTTATGGATCCTTGATCCTTTATCAATGTAGACTGGCACCTCCGAAACTTGAGTTTTCGAAAGTTGCTTTGAACATTGAAAGGTTTAATGATTTGCCCAGAGTCACACACCTGGTATGTGACAAAGGTAGAACTTGAACCCAGATCTTCCTGGCTCTGAAGCCTGTTTTCTACCTATTAAGCCACACTGACTCTGCATGCTGATGATAAATGGCAGATAAGAGATTTGAAACTAGGTCCCCTGCCCTCATAGCCAAAGTTCTTTTTGATCACCTTATATGAAGAAACTAATTTAACTCCAAACACTCTCAAGCCACTTTAAACCAGCAGTTCTCAAAATGTGGTCTGGAGACAGCCAGAGGGGTCACTGAGACTCAGGGGGTCTTCTAGGTCAAAATTATTTTCATAATAATACTAGAATGTTTTAATTTTGAATACAGTAAATATCAATCGATGTAACCCATATAAAGTTCTTTGGGCTTTAAAAAAATAAAATATTTTTTATTTCTAACAGTAAATATTGATAGATAAAACCCATATAAAAAAAGCTCTTTGGGCTAATTTTTAATAGTGTAAAGAGGCCTTGAGGTCAGAACGTTTGAGAACCACTGGGCTAATGGATGAATGAGGCTGGTTCTTATGTGTACAACCTTTCACCCAAACAGAAACCTTCACCATCCAATACATATTAAGTCAAGTAGAGCGTACACTATGGTCTCGTTTATCTAGCGAAGCAGCCCCTGTGTATCCATGCATAAATGTTCTTTCTCCCCCACTTGACAGGTAGGGTTCCGAGGAGCAGAAATGATGCTGTAGCATCTCTCTGTACCTCTAGGACTCAGCAGAGAACCCTAGTCCTTCGGGTCCTCAGTAAGTATTGGATGATTTCAACAAGCACTATGTGTGCACTCAGCGCCCACAGACCAGACCAGACGGAACGTGGACGAGGCTGACAGTGCCTCGTGCTGGGGTGGGGTACCCAGTGTGAGGCTTATCCAAGCCGGTGACTTCCTCCTCCACTCCCCACCCTCTGGCCCTTCAGACCCTTTCCCAGTGGGCTGCAGGAAAAGTCAGCTCCGCCGCAAGCTGTAAACAAGCATGGGCGGGAGGAGGTGGTGACAAATGACTGTGGAGAAATCAGGCTTAAGAAATGGGGAGAGGCAGCCGCTGCCCACAAGACCAGGGTCTCAGAGACAAAAGGGGCCATTGGCTGGGCCAGAAGAAGTGCCCTTTGTCTTTGCCTAAGCTCACTAAAGGGGAGGGGGTGGCAGAAGGAATGATCTTCCTCCAGCTCCCCGTGCCTCCTCCTCTCCACTATAATCTTGCATTTTTACTTTCTATACTTTCTGCATTTTATATTATTAGATGCTAAAGTGCTGTCTCCCCCAAAGCGTGTAAGCCGCTTAAGGGCAGGGTTGTTTTGTTTCTTCATCTCCAGCACCTAGCATGGTGTCTAGCACACAGTAGGCGATCTACAAATGCTGGTTGATTGACGGACTTCCTGAAACTGGCATGCCCGGGGTGGTGGGAGAGGGTGGGTGGGCAGACAGTTCACCTTGGACTTGGGAGAAATCACTGGCTCCCAAAATAACGCTTAGCTCTCCCCAGCCTAAGGGGCTTTCAGACACATACACTGTAACTCCGCCCACCCCGGTGCAAGGCGCTCCAGCGAGGGCTCAGGGCGCCACCTGGTGTCTCTCAAGGATCAGTTCACTCTTCTCCTTTGACTGTATCAACTGCCGCCGGGGGGAGGGGAGGGAAGGGGAAAGGGAGGGAGGAGAAGGAGGAGGAGCCGGGGAGCGGTTTCTAGCGACAGGCGCGTGCGTGTTGGCGTCACGCTCCGCCCGGAGGCTTTCTCCTCCCTTCCCTTCGGCGCCAGCTCCCGAGGGCTGCCAGTCCTTGACGCGCCCTCGGCGGCCTCTGCCCTGACAGTGCGTCCTTGCGTGCTGCGCGTGAGCGTGCAGCGGAGGCGGCGCGGGCCGAGAGGAGCGCGCCGCTTCTGTGGCTGGCCAGACGCGGCGGAGCGAACGGGGCGCAGGCTCCGCCACCTCAGCGTCCGCTTCTCCGAGCCTCGGGCTCCGGTGTCCGCCCAGCCCCGCGGGGGCGGCAGCTTTGGGCGGCCCGGCGTGCGGGCAGGCCCGAGGCCCGAGGGCCAGGGGCGGCGTGAGTTGCGAGCGGGGACCGCGGGCGGGCGGCGGGCATGTCGGTGCCGGATGCGATGCCGCTGCCCGTGGCCGGGGTCGGGGTCGGCGAAGAGCTGAAGCAGGCCAAGGAGAAGGAGGACGCCGAGAAGTACTCGTTCATGGCCACCGTCACCAAGGCGCCCAAGAAGGTGCGGGGGCGGGCGGGCCAGGGTGGGAGCTCGTCGGGGGTGGGCCGGGCCCGGGGCCGGGGGAGCTCGGGGTGACGCAGCCAGGGCCCCCGGCGCTGACGTGTGCGGGCCGCCCGCCGCACGACCGGCCCGGGCCTCGCTCGCTTCTCGCTGCCCATTGTCCCTTTGCGGGCTTTGTCCCTTCTTCGCAGTCGCTCGCTCGCTCCCCGTGGAACCTCAGCACCCCGCGGCGATCCGCTCCAACACCGCCAGGTCGGGTTCCAAGTTCGTGGCCGACCCCCGGGCCGGGGGCTCCCGGACCCGGGATGGGGGGTGGGCTGGGTGTGGGGGCAGAGGATCTGGCTCTTGGATAGCCTCCTTCATCGCATCTACACTGGTTTTGGAGGCTGCAGAGCTGACCTTCCTGTTAGGTAAGGGTGGCCGAAAATCACCGTTGGGGATGCTTTTGGGGGGGAGGGTCGGGCGGCGCACGCTCGGAATCCGTCTGTCCGATGCCTCTCGCAGTGTAGCCCGGAGCCAAGAGTGAAGACTCCTTGCACTCTACTGGCCCTTTTATGAAGGCGAAGGTAATGGTGAGGACAGGCTGGAGAGAGGAGAGACTAGCCACCGTTCTCCCCGTCCGGGTTCTGCCAGGTCCTCTATGAAATTAACATTTAGAGGTTGGTCATTACAAATACTGTCATGGGTCCAGGGGGATGCGAGAGACCCACTTTGTGCCTCCCGAAGACCGAGCTTGGTTGAGGGGGAGGGTGGGAGGTTAGAGGGGGGTGGGCGATTGTTCATTCCTTGTCGCACTCATTGAGGCCGAACAAGTTTTTTATTTATTTTATTTGTTTTGCGTTGTGGGTTGAACTCAAAGGACACTGGCTTGTTTTGACTCTCGGGTTAAATCGATGGGGTTTTTAAGCCAGCTAACTCATTGAGAAGGAGGATTTGGGGTGCCGATGCAGGAGAGCAGCCGCCAATTGTGGCTTGACTTTCCACTCAACCCTGACCTCAAAACAAAAGAAGATGCGCAGAAGAAAGGTGACTTTCTGAGGCTGATGGAGCCTAAGTCTGTGCTTTCAGCTCCCTTATAAAGACAAAAATGTTTCTAGGCACTCTGCTTATAAACCTTCCACGGGCTGCAGTGCTTGCATAAGCTCAGCAAAGCAGGGGCTGCAGGAGTACTAGATAGCAGCCTCTGAGACTTCTGCACCTGAACCTATTTAAAGGAGTGAGGTTTCCTATTTTATGTTTTGGAGGAATTCTGTTTTACAGTTCAGCAACTGCATTAAGAAGCGCAAAGCCTCCATTGTGTGTGCTATATCTGTTCTCCTAAAAGGTCTTACTCGGGGAAAGCCTATGTTCTCTTTAAAAAGGATTAAGGGAGTTGTCCTTTATGGGCTCTGGAAGCCTAATCTTGTTTTGTGGGGTTGTAACCTTTTGTATTCTATATTATTCATTTGAGTGACTGTCCCTTTACAAATAGAATGTTTATTTTTAGTTAAGCATTGAGATGAGTCAGTGGTAAAGCTGTGGAAGTACCTTAGAATTATAAAGCCAGAAGAGAACTTAGAGATCATCTAGTTCAGCCCCCTCACTTTGCAGAGGAGGAAACTTGGGAAAAGTCATCCAGCTCCTTAGTGGTGGGTCTGAGGCTAGAGCCCAGGGCTTATGGATCCCAGTACAATGCAGTGCTGGCAGCCTGTTATCAATGCGTACTCTGGTATCCCAACTTCCTAGAACCTTGTTCTTCCCCACTAGGCCTTTTGAATAACTGTCACAGAGTTAGGTGCCATTGTCCTTTAACCTGACAGGCACTCTGTTGTTTGAAAGCTCTCCTGGGCTACTTGTTCTTGGGACTTACTAGTAAGTTTATTTACTGAGAGTAAGTCTCTCCGCCTGAAAGGTCTGGGTGCTAATACACATAGCCTAGTGATCCAAGCTAACTGCTCTTGATTTCAGAGACTCCTAGTCTATTAGCAAAAGGCTACTCAATTTCTACCAAGGATGTGGTGGGTTTTCATTTGCTTATAAACATGTCCTTATGGTTCTCATTAACTTTGCCCTTTCTGAGTTTTATTGTTCAGCCTTTATGCAACTGTTTAACACAGAGTGCTTTATGATGACTAATTATTCTTCCCCCTAGTGATAACCAGGAGGATTCATTTTGTTAATGGAGCACTTGAGGACTGGTTCAAGGTCACATACCAAGTCCAGCAGAGTACTGGTGTTAAGAGCTTCACGGTTTTACATCAACCTCTGAGTTATTTGTACCCCTGCCATGTATGAATAACTTGATTTCCTTCTCTCTGGAAAAGCTAGAAGAACACAAGTGATATAATAAAATTAATTACCAAATCCAATGGCCTGTTTTCAGTCCTTGAACTTTTTGTTTGTTTGTTTGTTAGCATTTACCACAGCTGATTAATACCTTCTGCTGCTTTCTTCTTCCTTGGCTTCAGAAGTACCAGGCTCTCCTGGTTCTGACACCTTTCTTGTCTCAGTGGTTCCTTGTCCTCTTCCTGACTCTAATACCCCCACAAGATGGATGTTCCTCCAAGAGGCTGCCCTTGATTCTGTTTTTATTCTCTTCCTTGATAATATCATTGATTTTAGGTACTTCAGATGAGAAAACAGGCACAATATGGTAAGAACCTCAATGCAAAAGCTCCCAAATGTGTGTTTGTTTTTTTCTTCTAAGCTTCCCCCCATCTTCATTTCCTTTGATTTCTTCTCTGCATCTTTGCTGATTCATCATCTACCTTGGGCTCCCCTCAAGATTTTGTCCTGGGAACTCCTCTCACTTTACACTTTCTCCCTTGATGATCTCATCAATTCACAAGGGTTTAATTGTCGTCTCTAAGATCACTCCCCAATATATAGTATCCGATCTCTCCTGAACTCCTGTCCCACAATCATGAATTGCCAGCTCAATACCTCTACCTGCGTGTTTTATTAACCTCTCATATTCATCGTGGCCAAACTAGAATTCATCATCTTTCCTGCTAAACCCTTCCCTTCCTCCAAACTTCACAGTTTTGAGGAGTGCACTATTATCGTCCAGTCACCCAGGTTCATAACTTCAGAGTGATTCTTGAGTTTTCTTTCTCCCTCACCTCCCTGTAGTCAATCACTTGCAGAGCCCTATGATTCTAACTACAAAATATCTCTCAAATCATTCTACTTCATTTCAAGTTAAGGCTTGTCACCTCTCACCTGGAATGTTGTAATAGCCTGCTTAATGACTCCTGTTTCCTATCGCTTACCTTTTCAATCAATCCTAGACTCTATTGCCACAGTCTTTCTAAGGCATGGATCTAACCACATTTCACCTGTTGAAAAGCTTTCAGTTGTTTCATGTAATAAAATACAAACTTAGCCTGCCATTTAAAGTTCTGGCTCCCATGTTTTCTAGCTATATCTCACATTCACACACTCTACTGAGCTGGATTGTGGTATCTTGAACTTGACATTCCATCTCCTATCATACATTTGTATAAGGTAGGCCTCATACCTGGAACTCTGTTTTTCAAGATTCTTGTCCTTTTTTTTTTTTGTTTTTGAGGTTCACTTTAGTTGTTTACCTCCTCCAGGAAGCTTTCAATTCCCCACCTCCCTCAGTTGTTAATGCCCTTTCCCTCTCCAGATTACCTTCTGTGTACTTATTTGCATACCTGTTTTATTGCTGCGGTGAACCTTGAGAACAAGGATTTCAGTTTTGTCTTTGTATGCATAATGTTTTACACGCAGTTAATTCAACAAAATTTTACTACAGGACATCTGAACCCGGTATCCCACAGTTAACTCAGCCCAACATGTGTAAAACCAAGCATATTATCTTTTCAGATTTTACTGCTTCTGTCCATGGTACCATCCTTCACTTATTTTCTCATTCAGGGTAGCATGATGTAGTATAAAGAGCACTGGAGACATCGGAGACTTGTATTTGGGTTCTGCCTTCAGCATCTTATTAGCTAGGTGATCATCACTCACCAAATGATTCTACTTTTACCTTTTTTCACTTCCATTCTTTCCCTCCTCTCTGTCCGTTCCCCCCCCCCCCCAACACACACATCACTCTAGTACAAATCTTCATTTCTGTCTATTTGGACTATTGCAGTAGCCTAAAAAGTCTTCTTGCCTGTTTCTTTTCCATCTAGCCCATCTTTCATGCCACTTGCAGACTAATATTCCTGATGCTCCAGCATACTTTTCCAGTCTTATTTCATATTAGTTTCCTTCACATACTAGTCAGCTCTAGCCAAACTGGACTACTAGTCATTCTCCAAACACAGCAGACTATTTCCCACGTCCTCCATTTCTGTTCTCTGTTGCTATGAACCACCCTTTCCTTTTGCCTGCCTTTCATCATCATTCTTTTTCATCAAGGCTCAGTTTTCCTGAACTTTGGGGCAACTCTCTCTGTTATCCTTTGCCCTATCACATTCTGCTTCATATTATAATTAATTTATGTACATTTTATGCTCTCCGACAGAATTCTTTGTGGGAAGGGACTGTCATTTTAAAATTGATTATAACCCCAGCTTCTGGTACAGGACTTTGCATATTATAGGGTTTTAAAGTAGGAGTGTAAGCTAGAGAACAGTATACTGGACTTGACCTGTATTCAGATCCTGACACTTAACCCTAGCCATGTGACCATGGCAAGTCATTTCACCTTTGTAAGCCTCTTTCCTCATCTGTGAAATGAAGCTGGTGCTTGTAGAGCCCCACCTTACAGGATCATTGTGTGCTTCAAATCAAAGAATGTATGTGAAGCCCTTGACAAACTTGTGCTTGCTATGTAATGGCCAGTTCTTAAAGAAACAAATCTGGGTATGCTCCTCTACTCCGAAGGCAACAGTGGCTCCCTTATCAGTGATTCAGTCAAGTTCAACTTGTGTTTTGTATTCCAAGCTCGGCACAGTCTTACATTACTTACTTTTCTAGTCTTATCTCATGTTACTCTCCTTTCCAAATATTCTACAGCCAGCTGGACTGCTCTGTGTCTTCTGAACAGGGCCTGTACTTTCCTACATCCATGCCTTTGCCTTGAATGTACCCCCTTTGCCTCTGAATTCCTTTTCTTCCTTTAAAGCCAGTTCAAACACTAACTTCTCACTGAAACCTTCTGTGGTCTCTCTATTGAGAATGACCTTCCTCGGACCTCATATAGTACTTTGTTCTGTGCCTTTGTGATATAATTATCAAGTGGTTTTGTGTATTATTCAATTCATATTCCCCCTGTTAAATTGTAAGGTACATGAGGTCAAGGACCAATTTTTTATCTAAATTTGTATCTATACACAGGAAGTGTTAAATAAATATGTTGAATTAAATTGAACACTGCAACATATGCCTCTAGAAATTATCCTCAGTTATCACTAACGGTTTTTTTGTGGGTCTATACCTAGTAATAGTGTTAGTCAAACCAGATAGTACCCAAGTCTGCTGTAGTCCTGAAGTTCCCTAGTATAAATGTAAAGGTTTGTGGTTTTCCATAGTAATCATGGAGCAAACCTGAACCTTTCACATGTACAGTATAAACATGAACAAATCTGTAGTTTCATGTTCCTGTTCTGGCTTCTAAATAGTTGAGGGTGTGATTGTCAAGGAGGAAGGAACTAGTAGTGGGAATAGACTTTATATTTATCTTTGAAGTTCAGGTAGATAGGTCTTGATGGCCACGTTATTTTATATGTGTGTATATATATATATATATATACATATATAGTAATAAGAATATTGATACTAGTTTCAGAAACAGTTTTAGAAAGTATTAGACTCAATCAAGAGATCTGGATTTGAGTTCTGGCTCTGACTCTTAGTGATCCTGAACAAGTTATTTAACTTTGTTGTGCCGCAGTTTCCTCATCTATAAGATGGGAATAATAATTCACTATCTACCTCACAGTACTCTTTAAACATTAAAGTACTATTATTGTCGTATTTCATGGCAGAGTTGGGGAGGGGAAAGAGGGAATCCTTTGTTAGAACAATATAAATTGTTTTAAGAAGGGTCAAAACTGGGGCAGCTAGGTAGCCCAGTAGATAGAGCTCTGGCCTTAGAGTCGGGAGGACGTGAGTTCAAATCCAGTCTCAGACACAAGATGCTTACCAGCTGTGTGACCCTGGGCAAGTCACTTAACCCCAATTCCCTCACCAAAAAAGAAAAAGAAAAGAATGGTCAAAGTCCTGGGGTTATGTATTTTGAAAGTCATGATTATCTTCTGATCCACACAGCATACTATAATCACCAGGTATTGAATGGTTTATAATCTTTGTTCCAGTAACATCACACTGTTGTTCTTGGGCCTTCAGATACTGGCATTATGTCAAATTCTTATAACTAAAATCCAAGATTAGATGAGGATGGTTCTAGACTCATTCAGCAGTAACTGTGACTCAGGCAGTTAATCTGAGGACTGAGACTGGATTGTCCTTTAAAAGATAGACAGGATATAGTTGGCTTGGAGTATCTGCCTCATTGCATTTTCTGCACTCTGTAATTTCTGAATATTTATGAGAACAAATCTGATTAGTACTTTTGTAAATCTGATGTGTTTTGGAGGGAGAGACAGAAGTGACTCATTGAATAGATATTGAACTTACATGGCATGTTATGCTAGTTTATCAATAGTCAATTTCACAAATACAGGTAGGGGAGGCATGGTTAGACAGATATTTGTGCAAGTGGAGTACAAATTAGCAGTGTGATGTGGCAGCCATAAAGCTAATGTGATCTTGGACTGTGTTAGGAGAGCCATTGATTTCAGAATAAGTGATAGTTTCACTGGACTCTACTTTGGTTAAAACACATCTGCAGTTAACTGTGTTCACTTTTGGTTGCCACAGTGATGCCTCTTTTATTGATTGGCATTTGATGACCAGCCTAGGAAGTACCAAGAGGCTCATCACTAAGTTGGCTGAAAGGTTGATGGATCACAGCAACTCTGGAAAACCATCTCCCAAGTATTAGAGCACCTGTGTGAAGTGTTGGTTGAAGAGAGGGCTTGGACCTGTAAAATCATGAATCCCAGAATTTGTGAAGGAACTAAGTGCTGACTGCCTCACTGCCACTGTCAGTAGTAGACACCTCTTTGCTTACTCCCTAGTCACCACTTTCCACTTTGGCCCACTTGTCTGCATCGTCATTTTGCTGCTTGTCTCTCCGTCTTTGATGACCCTTTCCTGCCCATCCTTATTCTTCTCCATTTCTGAATTTGTCTATCTTTGGCAGTTTCATAGTTTATGCTTCTGTTTTCAAATGCACCTATATGTTATGCCCTATATCATTTTGATTACTTTTTACCTCTTTCCATATGCCTTGTTCTTTAAAGCACTCTTGATGGTATCTT